GAGCCGGCGGAGGGGGGAGGAGGGAGCGCGGGGCGGGGCCCCGCTCCCTGCTCTGCCCCGGCTCTCCCCCAGCCCCTCGAGCCCCTCATCCCTTCCCTCGTCCTCCCCGGATCCAGCCTTGTGCTTAACCCCTTGCTGGCTGCCACCCTCCCGCCTCCGGACCCGCTTCTCTGGCGTGGTCCCGCCACCGCAAAACGTTACCCCAGCAAAAACTCGGGGCTCTTGCTGGGTCCAAGAACCCCTGCCCCACTCCCGGGTGCTGAACCTTGCCTTCCCCCTCCCTGCTCACCAGAGACGCAGGCCAGCGTTACCCGACATTGGTAACGCCAACGGTGGTAGCCACTCCAGGTGCCAACAGCTTGCGACATGTTGCTCTGCAGTTGAAATGGTCGGCTTCTTGCCCAGTTTTCGGACCATTCTCATGCAAACAAAAAGAAGAAAGAAAGGTGTTAGATGAGGATGGGAATCTGACATTATTTACAAGGAAGCCATCACTTGTCTGGCATCAAGCTCAGCATTAAACAAATGCAGGTTTCCTAATGGCCACCTAACGAGCGCTTGATTGCAATTGTGCTCTGGCTTCCAATTAGGCTGTGCCGGGCGCAGTCCAGCAGTGGTACCCAGGACCCATACGCCCTGATCTTTCCCCATCCCATGTCTGGAAGTGCACCGCCGAGAGTACCAAAATGAAGACTTCCCCATCACGGGGCAGGAATGAACACTCAGAATTCTGGTCGTGGGAGAAACATTTCTCCACAGTAAGACCTCCACACACCGCATCAGGTCATCCCATTACCCAGCTCCAGTGCAAACCCTCATCTTATGAGCAGACACGTGCCTATCACAGGACTAGGGGTGCATGTGTTTCAGGCACGTAACTCACATGCATTTGGTCAAGTGTTGGAGCAGCTTCAAGGCCCCAGCAAAGAGGTCAGCAGGAGGACAAACTTTTGAGGTCTGAAGGGCTGAAAAGGAATAGCAGGTAGGGGGAATTACGTGGGTTTCATGGAGGAGGGGGGTGTATGAGTTCTTACTGCACTGCATCAAATGGGATTTTGTCACAGCCATGTCAGACATGATCAAACTGTGCCCAGTGCCAATTCCTCAAAAGATACTCAGGCGAGGTGTCTTGTGAGGAGGGATGGTCCACCTCATTTGAGTACCAATTGCTGGCAAATGATAGGGAATGCATTGTGATGCTAAAAACCAAACAATTAGATGATATTACCATAGGCAAGCTGCAAAAATCTCCAGCAGGTTAGCTCAAACCACACAGAGTTCCACCATCCCTCTCAACATCCTCCTCCAAGTTCCCACCAGAAAAATGTAGAAAGATGCTATATATATCTAGAAAGTATGTATTTGTATGTACTTGTTAACACAATGTGAGTGACAACTGTGAGTGTGAGAAGTATTAATTATGTTAATAATAACTAAAGTACACAATTTCTGTTAAAAAGTAGCTTTAAAAGATTATTTGCATATTTGTTGCATAGCATGTGGCTTTTCAAAGAGTGCAAATGAAAACCTATGGCTAGGAATTATTGTAACATTTCGTAAAAGCTGAAAAATTGGTATTTTTAAGTTGATACTTTTAAGAATTTCCATTTTTTAATACTGTTGAGGGTCTACTTGCCATTTAACTGTCTCAAGGGCTTCTACTGCTAAGCGCATATTGACTGGCAAAATAATGAAGGGCTGGTTTTAAGATCTAATCTAGCTTTAAATCACCTACGTTGAAAAATTAATGGCCTGCATATTCCTGCATAATAAGTTGTGTTGTGACAAGGTATCAATTTACTGTTGAATTATACACACACACATATATATACTTCTACACACAATTACTTTTTATTCATAACTCCTCTGCTACTCTTCAGTTCTTGCCACTGTTTCCTTACAATATCAATTCAAATCACAGCTACGTCGTATTATTCTTGAAACCTTGATTACCACAACTTTGTCCCTCTCAAGTCCAACCAAATCATCAGTACCACACTATAACCAAAATAATCTCCCTCCATTACTCCTGATGGTCATTCCCACCGTTCAGATTTTATTCCAAATTTGTAACAAAATAGAGCTGTAAATAAAACTGCCTGAACGACTTCCAAGTATAATTCATCAGCGTACAGTTTTTGCATAAAGGAGAAGTAAGGGCAGAACTAGGCACCATGATCATCTCTTCTTGTCGCTATAGCAGAACTTCATTTGTGCAGTGCCGAGAGGTGATTTTCCAGCAGTCTCACTGTCAGCCCTCAAGTCCCCTCGGAAGGACATGCAGAAGGTATTTACTTCAGCACAAAAGGTGAGAGCTGTCGGTAGAGAGGGGAGGTTAAATTTTATCCATTTTGCAAGAAACAGAGTAGGAACGGACAGCTCACGAAAGTGCTCACTTCATTGCAAGGTGAAAAAAGAGAGTTCCCCCAGTTCAGACAGGAGTGTAGAGATGCCTGCCGTTTCCAGCAGTTGCATTAACTGTTTTCCATGGTTGCATTAATTGTTTTCCCAAGGCTGTGCCTGCACCTGGAGCACCTCAGCGCCCAGACCCTGCAGTGCCTGGGGGACACGACGAGAAGCACCGAGGGCAGCCTCCAAGTCCACCTCTGCCATTGGTGGCTCTCAGGGCCCACCTTGCTGCTGCCGGTGACCCCATGAGGACAGAAACACCACCTTCTCCTTTCCTTTTGAACTTCTGGCTTTTAAACAACTGGGAAATCTAGCTGAAGTTAAAAGATAATACACCAAAGACTTCATTCTGTGTGACCAAGGGCCTACAACACAGTCAATGAAGTCATCTGCCTTCAGTCCCAATGTTGCTTGGATTTGGTAGTGAGGAAGTCTATCAAACAAATAAACCAGTGCCTCCTGCAGCAAAATAGGCAGCTCCCGCAACATATGTAGTTTTTCTCACCTCCAGGCTGTGTAGCCCGTATCTTCACAGAGACCAGATGGTAGGAGTCAGCTCCGTGGGGCTGCAACGATACACGCATGACAAACACGGAGTGCTATGATCATGAGGAAAGGATACCCTAATACAGAACAAAGTAAACTGGAGGTTTGTTTTGCTACACAATCAAAAACGCCTGAGTTGTCTGGGCATTCTGGACCAAGCTGCCCTGTCAAAAGTACGTTACCTTCAGCTATGAACATAACTATGAGTTCTGTAGTTATTGTGAAAAGCTAGACCCTTTTCCTAAATTTTTCTTTTGCCATGAGAAAAGGAATCATAGGCTTCTTTCATCACCACTATCCTTACTTTTAATTATTTATTATGTAAATAATCAAATAATTTCATCATCTTTGGGGCTCTATAGCAAGATTTTTTTCTCTGTAGCGTAACGAGGGATATGCCCCTCGAATAGACAGTGCTTTACGTGGAGTAAATGATTTACCACCGCTGGCAATCATTCACCCAGCTATCAGAGAAAGCCAGGCGGCGCCGAGTGAAGGTCAGGGATCAGCTCCAGCCCAGACAGGCACAGCTGGGCTCTCACGGGGACGGCTTTGAAATGGGTGGGTGGGAAGCCGCAGGCTGG